CCTGGATTTCAAAGACCAGCAGGTCGTATCACTAACCGAGCAGTACGCGAAGTTCATCGACGAGCGTGTGCTATGGATCCGCAGCGGCCGGGCGATGACGCACGAGCAGGTTCTCGACACGGCGGATGCGTGGCTTCTTAATCCGACGAAGTGGCTGGATATCGGCGCAACACTGGTCCGCGACGTGGTTGCTACCCCGTGGCTCTATGCGATCATCCTCGGTTCGTTTGGCGCCCTCGTGGGACGCGGAGCCAGGCTGCGGCGCGACCTCAATGAAGCGGGCGACATCGCCGCGCGCGCCAACTGCCGGACGATCGAGCCGACGCTGCGCACCATCGCCCTGACTGTGCTGGTGTCGGCGGCATGGCCGGGAATCGTCGCGTTACTCTCGTGGCGGCTGCGAGTCGCGGGGGGGGNNCTACGGGCTTTACTGCGTGTGTCTGATCTGGGCTCCGCTGGAGTTGATCCGCCAGGTATGCCGCCCCCGCGGTCTAGCCGAAGCGCACTTTGCATGGCCGACAACGGTCACGCAGTCGCTACGCCGACGCTTGCGATGGCTCACCGTGTTGGGACTGCCCTTCGCGTTCTTGGCGGCGACACTGCACTCCAGCAATCCGACGCCGGGGCACGACGCCCTCGAACGCTGCTGTTTCATCGTCGGCATGGCGCTGTTGATGGTGTTCGTTTTTCGACTCTTGTCGACTGGCGGCTTGCTTCGCGAGCACATCGCATACCACCAAGGCGGCTGGGTCGACCGGCTGAGCCACCTCTGGCCCTGGCTGGCGGTCGTGCCGCCGCTGACGCTGTTGGGGCTCGCGTTCGCGGGCTACTACTACACGGCACAGATTCTGGCCTGGCGGCTCTTCGCTTCGGTCTGCTTCTTAGTGGCGTTGTGGCTCGTCCGCGACTTGCTGCTGCGTATGCTGCTGCTCCGACGCCGGAACCTGAGCATTGAGCAAGCCCGCCAACGCGCCGCTACCGCCACCGCAGCGGCGGAGGCCGACGGAGGGAGCGCCGCCGTCGTTGCCGGCATTGTGGCGAGCAATCAGCAATCCGATCTTTCAGCGCACAACCAACAAACGCGGCGGCTGCTGGGCGCCGGCGTCTTCGCGGGCTGTGTGGTCGGGCTCTGGCTGATCTGGGTCCAAGTCCTGCCGGCGCTCGGCATGCTCGACAAATACCCGCTATGGAGCACCGCCGTAGCCACCGCGCAGCCGGCCGCCGCAACGAGCACCATGCCAACCGCGGCGGCAATGGGCACACCGAAAGCCGACGCAAGCGTCGCTGTTGCTGCCGGCAAGAACACGGTGACGCTTTCCGACCTGGGGCTGGCGGTCCTCGTGACGTTCGTCACGTTCGTGCTCTTCCGTAATGGCCCGGGCCTCCTCGAGATCGCCCTCTTGCAGAAGCTGCCGCTCGATGCGTCGGTGCGCTACGCCATCACGACGCTCGCCAGCTACGCGATCGTGATGATCGGCACGATCATGGCGTGCTCGACGATCGGCCTGCAGTGGTCGCAGATCCAGTGGCTCGCCACCGCGCTAACCTTTGGTTTGGCGTTCGGCCTACAGGAGATGTTCGCCAACTTCGTGGCGGGACTCATCATCTTGCTCGAGCGACCGATCCGCGTTGGCGACGTTGTCACCGTCGACGAAATCACCGGCGTCGTGTCACGGATCCGCATCCGTGCGACTTCGATTACTAACTGGGACCGCAAAGAGTACGTCGTTCCCAACAAGGAGTTCATCACTGGCCGGCTCTTGAACTGGACGCTCACGGACAAGGTCAACCGCGTCGTGGTCAACGTCGGCGTCGCCTATGGCACCGACACCAATCGCGTTCAAGAGCTGCTGCTGACGATAGCCGCGGAGAATCCTCTGGTGCTCAAGGACCCCGCGCCGGTGGCGTCGTTCGAAGGGTTCGGCGACAACTCGCTGAACTTCGTCTTGCGGACTTACCTCGCAGCACTGGATTACCGGCTGCAAGTCACGCACGAACTACACACGGCGATCAACAACGCGTTCAACGCGGAAGGGATCGAGATCGCCTTCCCGCAGCGTGATTTGCATATCCGCACGGCGCCGGAGGTGCTCGCGGTCGCTCTCAACAAGTCGGCGAGCAGTTCATCGCAGGCGAAGGAAGCCGCTTGATCTACCCCGTAGAAAAGCCGGCCGCCCGCCTAAGCGGGGGCGGCCGGCTTTAGCTCGCCAACCAGAAGGATTTACTGCTTCTCCGCAGCAATGAGGGTCACTCAGTAGCGGAAGATCAGGTCCGCCGTCAGGCGGTTCTCCAGCACATCACGCCGCTCAGTAAGCGGTACTTCCCAGGCCAAGCCGATCTCCGTGTTGCGGTTCGGCTTGTACTTGCCACCGAAGGCGCCGGTGACGATGTCGTTGCCCTCGACGCCCGCCGAGCCGAGGTTGAACAAGTCGCCGCCATCGAGGCCGGTGAGGCCAAGGCGGTTATCGCCGTCGGCCGCCCAGTGGTACCAGTTGAACTCCAGCAGCCCGTACCAGCCCTTACGAACCTGATAGTCGAAGTGGTTCGACCAGTAAACGAACGAGCTATTCGCGTCGCCATCGACCGGCAGGAGGCCGCCCACGCCGCTGAGCCAGTGGCCGCAGTCGAAGAGCTCGGCGCCGCCGGTGAGAAACAGATTGAAAATACCGTCGCCACGGGCCTGACGCGAGCGCGGCGTGCCCATTGGGATGTTGTAGGTGAAACCCGCGGACAACAGCTGCTGTGCAGCGGGGTCACGGTAGAGGGCGTACTTGAGGCCAATGTCCAAGTCGGCCCAGCCGTCATCAATCAGCGGATTGTCCGAAACGACATAGCCGTCTTTCGTCGCGATCAGCGATAGACGCTCGGTCAGTCGTGCGCGGATTTGTAAGGCGTAGAGCTGCACGTCGCCGCCGAGCGCGGTGGCCGGCACTTTGTGCTGGATGAAGATGCCACGCAGCTCGGTGACGTTCCGCGGGTCTTCAAAGTAGACCGGGTTGGTCATCGGGCTGATGAAGTCGTCGAAGCAACGCTCCGACGGGCAAGCGATCGATCCCAGCAACAACTCCGGCAAGCCGCAGCCATCCGAGCAGCTGTCATACGTTAGGTACCCAAGGCCAAAGAGCCCGCAATTCTCAAGGCAGCAGCTAGAGCCGCAGCTCGACCCACAGCCGACCGAATCACCGCAGCACGCGTCACCACCACATCCGTCGCCACAGTCGGTGTCCCAGCAAGCCGTTTCTATCTCTGCGGCCGTGTCGCTGGTCGCGAATGCCACGTCGCCGCTAGTCGCCCAAGCCGGCATCGTTACAGCGGCCAGCGCCAGGCCCACCAGGCCCAATTCGTGATGTTTCATTGCGTCACCTCCGTGTCCGATGCGATCCGGGCGCCAGACGATCGCCGCGCTCCGCTAGCCGCGGCATCCGAGCCGTTGCTGGCATCTAAATCGGCGCCAGCATTCCGCTTTGCCTCATCAATACCTCTGTGGTGGTGGATGCGCTGCGACCGGCACAGAGGCCTCAGGCAACATGAGCGAATCCCGACAAATTGGTCCAACTAGCCTATCGGACAAAATGACACACTTGACTTTAATGGCCTGAATGCCGATATTCCGATCTGGAGATAGACAGGTCCTCTATGTCTTTCTCTGCACTAACTACCCATCGTACGTGAGCCTTCGAGGCAATTATGGCCGTCTCCCAAACCGCTGAATACGCGTTGCGGGCCGTGGTTTGGCTGGCTCAGAACCCCGGTGAGCCCCAAACCACGCAGCAGCTGGCCGAGGGGACGCACGTCTCGGTGAGCTACCTCCCCAAGGTGCTCCAACCCCTCGGACGGGTGGGCATCCTCACCAGTCAACGCGGGAT